CCTCTCCCCCCGCGGGGCCCTCTTCTGGAAGACACTCACACACACACACACACACACACACACACACAGTGTTTATGTTCTTGAAAACGGGGATGGGCTCTAATCTTTCTCTGTCTGTTCCTGCCCTTATGATAAACTGCCTGTCTAACATTGTTTTCTTATCATTCATAACATTATGCATTCCCTGGCCCCTAACCTAACTTGAACCATTGCAACTAAATGCCCAACCCATATCCTTACTCTAACCAAAGCCTAAATCTACTCTTAACCTTAAAACCAAGTTTTAACCCTGAAAAGGCCATTCATGTCATCATAACATGGCATGGAACAAAGATTTGTCCATTCACCCATAGAAAAATGTACATGCGTCATGATTCCATCACTTCAGGGGCCATTACATTGACTTAAATTCATTTCCTGTGGACTTGCCCTAACCTTAACCATAACTGCTATTTGCCTAACCCTAGTTCTCACCCTAACCTTAAGCCCAGGCATCACTCTAAAATGTCAATATTTACATTTAGGGGACTTGCTTTTTGGCTCCATAAGGATGTTGAGTCCCCACAGTGTGACAATGTAAACAGATTTACATCTCCATAACATGAGTAATAACACACACACACACACACAGTATCCCTCACTGTCTTCCTCAGAAACACTCATTAGGAGGTATTTGTTCGTGTGTGTGTATGTGTGTTGGTTTTTTGCAGCCTATGTCTCCAGAACTCGGCTCTGAGTCCTCAGAGACAAACATTAGCGTCACCAGATGCCTCAGTCTGACTCTTTCTCTCCATATTTCCCATATTGTGCCCCCTTCCATCTTTTGTCCTTATTTCTCTAACCTGTTATCCGATCATTTACTGCCTCTCTCTCTCCCCTGCTCTGATTTCACACAATACATGATGTAGTTAAGTGTGTTCATTCATTATCTAATTAACTAATTTACCCAGCGCTAATTCTTTTTCATCAGCTAATAGTCTGCAGATTAACTATGGATGTGTGTGCGGAGCTGCTTTTTATGTGTTAAATATTAACCCCTCATTATCAGGTGAAAGCCAGTATAAAGAATGACTCAGTTTTCCTTTCAAAAGTAAACAGTGAGCTATCAGGTATCGCTTCACATAATCACTTATGATCTTGTGTGTTGGCAGCTGGAGAAATGACCCATAGCCTTTTAGCATCAGCACATTTCTCTAAAATAATTGCCATGACACATTTGAATGTTACTGCTGGAGTACAGCGTCATCGTTGCCACCGCACATTCATTTTTCCCCCCAGTGATTCATGTCATGCTTGTTTTTGTGGGGTGGAGGTGGCTCGCTGCCACATGAACACACCCTTCAGGCAGAATGGAGAGTTACACTTCAAAGGCAGAGAAGAAACAAAGTCTTGAAATCTGATGATGGGAAGCAGTCCTGTGTAGCGCCAAAACACTAGTACTGCTGGGTGTAAGAGTTCACTGACAGTCTGTGAGTAAATCAAGATGAAGGCACAAGATGCAATGGAGTCCATTACTTTTATTAATTTCCTGTTTTCAAAATAGTAAGAAATGTATAACACACCAACAGTCCAAAGCCAAAAGATACTGAATTTATAATTAGATATAGTAAATCAAGACAGGCAGTGAATCCTTACAGTTGAAAAGCTAGAAACAGTAAATGTTTATATACACAATAGAAATTAGTGGCGGAAGGGCCTTTTTAAGTGAAGGTAGTGTGACTTTGTCAGCCAGAAGGGTACTGTGTAACTGTTTATTTTTATCATATTTTAGTGTACAGACATTTTAACTGAGCTGTTCCTGTTTGAAAGCCAACAATCTCAGTAGAGCTTGTGTGGTCTCATAGGTACATTCACCTTAGATGCCTGGAAATGATACCTTTGTGTAGCTATAAAGGCATCAGGCAGCACGGGGGTTATCACAGTTGCCTCGCAGGAAGAAGGTCCCGGGTTTGAGTTGGCCTGCCTGGCACCTTTGTGTTGAGTTTACATGTTCTCCCTGTGCGGGTGTGGGTTCTCTCTGCATTGTCGCCCGCACACCAAAGACATGCAGCTTGGGTTGATTGGTGTCTTTAAATTGCCCGTAGGAGTGTGTGTGGTTTGCCTATACGTCAGCCCTTTGATAGACTGGCCCAATGTCAGGTGGGATTGGCTCCCCGCACCCACCCCCTCAATGGATGGACAAAAGTAGCAGAGAGGGTGATAAGACATGCAAACTAAAATTATGCTTAAATCCAAAATTATTAGTTGCACCCAGACAGATTACTCAGCTTCAAGTGAAAATGACATTGGCACTGTCACAGTAATACAACAGTAAACTAGTCAGTTATTGTTCCACTTCAACTTAATTTTTTCTTTTACTTGTGAAAATCCTTTCCTACCTTTCATCTGGTCATTATTCAGCAGCACCTAATTAATAAATGGAAGTACGTGTTCTATTATTAATGAAAACAGTATGAATCTTCACACTTTCAACTGTGAATTATAACATGTCTTTGACGATGTTCCTCGTGCACAATGAAAGAACAGTAGGTCATCGTCACCACCGTGCAACTGGAACAAGCTTAAAAAAGCTTCACTAAGAATCAGACTTTTTGAAATTATTGCTCAGCCTCGTAAAACAGGAAAAGTGAAAAATCTCATACATGGAATACCTAAAAATTAAATAATTTCAATTGTTACATTAAAAAAAAGGCCATATTGTCACAAATGTGATTGCTGTACAAAGAGCAGGAGACTACTTCAGATGTTTACTATGGATAAACAGCTGGAGTGAGAAGAGATGGCGTGAGAATGGCCTCCAGAGTCACTCAGGTCTGTTTGCTCCGACAGTGATTCTACTCCTAAGTGTTTGCACTCCGAAACAGGCCTGAGTGGCTGGTTTTCATTGAATCACACACTTCAGCGTCTCACTCGTCTCTTTAATCCTTTGTTTCACTGAGCTCCAAAAGCCATCATGTTAGAGTACCTACAATGATAGAGGTGCATAATTTAGAATCAGCTTTATTGACCAGGTGTGTTGGACACACCAGGAATTTGACTGTGGTACAGTGGCTCTCAGTATGTACAGTGTTCCTCCGTCAAGCAATGACTAGGCAAAGAGAAAAAAATTTAATACACAGGCACAAATGCATTTTTCATGCTGTTAAGATACTGGTACAGTATTCTGCTGTTATCCATGTTGCAGAGGCACTGAAGAAATGGTCGTTTACTATAACTGACACTCAATCAGTTGTCAAGATTATCTACCCCTCCAAAGTCACAATGTTTTGCAGTTGGTGGAATCAACATTTCTTTAAAGCCATCCATCTTACTTTAATATACAGTATTGTAAAAGTGGTGTTGGGTATGTACTCATTACATTTTACCATTTACTCAGCAGCAAAAGTAATGTTACATTACACATTATTTTCATTACTCACCACAGCTGTTAAGTCTGATGCACAGAAGGACCCAACTATGCAGACACACAAGCCGAGGGAAGGTTCAAGCGGAATTTTAATAATAAGGGGAGAGAAAAAAAGAAGGGGGGGGGGGGAATAAGATACAAGGGCTCAACCTGACAAAGTGAAACAAAACATCGACTAAGGCCAACAACAAAAAACAGTTCAGTCAGGGAGCAAGGAAAAAGAAACTCAAAAACTGAAGAAACAAACCAAGAATCCTTAATACAGGTAAATCAAAAAACTCAGAGAAACTGACCAAAGGAATCCAAGACAGGAACAAATAGAAGAGGGATACAGACTTACTGAAATATGCGAGCTGGCAGGGTGTGGTGAACAGAGATAGGAAGCAGAAGGAACCAGCAAGAGGCTAAGGGAAAGGAGGGGAATATATGGGCAGGAGACCAGAGGATAATGAGCAGCAGGTGGAAACAATGAACAGTAATTATGAACTGGGGTAAAGCTGGGGCAGGTGAGGTGACACAAAACCAGGAAATCAAACTAAAATAAAAGCACAAAACAGGAAGCAAGTCCACAAACCATAACAACAGCTCCATTAAAGGTGCCTTTTAAACAACTCAAAATCCTTCATCACACACTGTCTTTTGCTTATAATGTCTGTAGAAATACAAAAGTTTAAGAAGCAGGCAGCAGATGTTTTGACCACCCAGCAGCTACTTTTGCCTACATAACTGCGCACAGCAGTTCCAACCTCAGAAACATGGTTACATGCCCTCCAGCTAAAAAGAAAAACAAAACAACTTGCATTGCCACTTTGCAGTTGTGCTGTATGCCTCCACCAAACTGTCAATTTCACGAGAACAGAAGTGAAGTCACTGACCTTAACCCTCCACTATTCCCTTTCTCACCTGGAAAATGGAGACTCTTACATCAGGATACTCCTCACTGACTACAGCTTCAACACAGT